CCCGGTAGAAGGAGGCCGTGGTCCGAGGTCCAGTCCTTCGGATCACAGAGTGCATGCAGTCCGAAGCCTACTTTTGAGTAAGCCCCAGGATGGAGATAATGTTTACATGTCTAGGGCACCTTTTAAATTATAACCGTATCAAAATGTTGCCAAACTCAATTTTTCGGTTATAAGTAGATTTATAAGAATTACACTAAGCCATATACATGAAATGTATTCATTCTATTTCATTTGAGTTTACTCGAGACTAATAGTTACATTTTCCCGCAATCACATGTATGGACCATACGTTTCTATGGAACTGCACATAATCCTGCTTTCCCAAAAGGTATTCTAATCCCGGCTGGAGTGGAATGCAGTTTCGACCTCGCCCCACTTGCTCTTGTCAGCACCGCATGTGGAACACGAACCAAGATTGTGGCAGTTCAGCATAATATGAATTTCAAGCAAGGTCATGCTTTTCTGCATATCACATTCTGGGGTGGGAATGTCGACGAGGCAAAGTTGTATTTGCTACAGAAATCGACTAAATTACTTATTTTTCGTTTATAAGTAGGTTTTAGATACGAACCAGTGAAGTATTTATCCTATCATTTTTGGAAAATCCAAATCCTTCGTCAGCTTAAACTAAATATTGTGAATACACCTCATTTATATGATCTACTGTTAGTTTAAAAAAATTACTTATTAAATAAAAAATAAATAATGTAGCCGATTACTATTGCGAGTACAGCATTGCTTCAATGGCAATCCCACCAGAGAATATGATACACGAAAAAGCCTGGCATTCTGTGAAATTCACACCTACCCGGTGATGCGAGGCTCCCTTTGCGGTGTGGAGTAGGGGTTGACGCGTCGAGACTACACACTGCATTACTACAATCCTGGTTCGAGTCCCGCTGGGGTTAAGGTTAAAAAAATTTTCTGTATGGGCTGTAGCTTTATTTGTTACCGATTTAGATTGTATTAGCATTAACATCTACCAATACAAAATGTTGGTTAAACCTGACAATATTTCGGAGTCATTCGGCAATACAAGTACTTAGTCATCTTAGGTTGCTCGAGATGAGATAGAGTTAAGCTAATAATGATATGAATTGGACTCACGAAGATTTTGAATTTCACTGATTCACAATGCAGATAGTTTTCAAGACTAACATTACTTCATGAATAAGAATATCTTACTATACATGTTGTTTCGCCTTGAATTTCATATTTTTCCCTTGTCACCCTCTGACACCTGTTGTTGATTAGGTTAGTTGTAATGTTGATGTGAAGGCTTTCATTTCGTATGGAAGAAGAGGAAGAAGAGATTCGTAGGTCCATTTCACCGGAAGACGTTGGTTGACCAGTACAACGCGGATCATGTCAGATTGACTCTTATCTTCATCATCTACTTCCTTACAAAATGAACGTATTCACATCAATCTTATCTCAGGAGATTCTTTGAAAGGCGCATTTTCTTTGTTGTTAAGGTACTCATGTTCCAATATCGAATCCTGCTAGGGTCGAGGCCAAAACTGCAGTCTAATTCAGCCTCCCAAAACGGTCTCATCAGGCCTAGTCCGTCGAATGTGATACAATTCAACTAACACTCTTTAATTCACTTTAAGCGAATCAGTTCTTCTAAAACTTCGTTAATGTGATTGCC